ATGGACCATCCCAACCCACAGCAAGGCACGGGCCCGTGCGAGCTTGAGCCGTGGGCCATGCCGAATCGACCCCCCAAATTATCCTAGAGGAAGGAGGCATGACCCGAGACGCCTCGTGGGCTAGCATGGAACAACTCACTTTGTGCGGGTCACATGTGGATCGTGTCATGTCGACCCAGCACAACCCAATTTATACCTCTACTTGAACCCGCCCAATACTGGGGATGGGGTAGGGAAATTCGAGGATTCTCCGTCCTTGATGAGGAGTGAGGTGCCTTGCCTCTGAACTTGCCCGACATTGAGGAGTGGTTACCTTGCCCTGAACCCGCGTGACATTGGGGACGGGGACGGGGATGGGGTGCCCTACCCTGAATCCACCCCGTTGTCATTCCTATATAATTGTTAATTATTAGTGGAATTAATCAAAATGTTAGCTTTTATAATTATTTTTATTTATTTTAAAAGTAATCAAAAATTCATTTAAAATTTATTAAAATTACTACAAGTTATTAATAAAACTAAATTTATTAAAAAATATTTATTCATATTCAATTAACAATTATTATTTTTTATAAATCAACATTAAATGAAAAATAAATTATTATATATATATATATATATATTGCCACGTAGGTGGCCTGAGTTTCTCGGTTACCCTAACCGATAACTTTCAGCCCCTCTGGTTTTAGCCTTTTTTGCTCTCTCATCAAAATCATGTCATCAATGTCTTCTCCCTCTCTCACAAAAGCCACGTCATCATGCCCAACCCACTACTTCACATTCCCTAACATCAAATCGTGAGAGTAGATGTGATAGGGTAGGAAAACAGGACCAATACGCCTCTTACTTTTTTACCCTTCTTCTAATTAATCCACTCACAAATCTTCATGAGGCCATATGTGGCAAATCAACAATTGAAAATATCAATAAGGCTTCGTGATTTAATAGAGTTAGAATCAATCACGATTCTAAATCGTGATTTTCATTCAACCCAAAATCGGATTCATAACGCATCTCACAGTCTTTCTCTTCTAAGTGAAACACGGTATTTCAAACACCGACATCTTCTCTTATCTCCAGCTCAGCCAACTATTCAATCAAGAGAAGCCATCCCGCAGGTAAGGCAAGAATTGTTTCTTCATTTTTCTCCTTCTAAGCCACGAAACAGGGGCTCCGCCCCATTGACCATTGTGTTTCTAACATATAGTCTTCTCCTATTGCGGTTCAACCATAATTGGATTAAAAGGTATACCAGTGACACTAGAAAGTCCAGCCCATTGTGCTCTACAGGTAAGAAAAACTTATTGCCAAAACAGGGGAATCGTCTTTCTTCTTCTAGGCAACAAAACAGGGGCTCCGCTCCATCGTGTTTCTAAACCACCATCTTCTCCTCATGGAGTTCAATCGTCCTTTCATTCTCATGAAGTTCAGTTGGAAATCATTGCCAACATACCTCTACCAGTTAAAGCCTCCCCCACAGGTGTGTCACTTTGTTAATCATTAAGTTATTGTTACATTTCACCGCTACTGTAAATCATTTAGTTCATCTCCAACATACCTCCACTATTATTATTACATTCAGTGGATTTAGGTGATCACAGACTCACAGTAGCGGTGGAAGAAGGGTTGTGTTCATTGCACCAGTTTTGGCGTTTTGCTACTGTAGAGGTATGCCATTACATTCAGCATACCTGTGTTAGTTGGGATGCATCTACTGTGATTGCCCATTCGAGCGATTACTGTAGATGCAAAGAGGGTAATAGAGATTATTCAAATGGGTCGGATCTTTGCTCTGTCCATCTCAGATCCGACCCATTTTCTGTTATTTACTGTGTTACTGTGTTACTATGTTATTTTTGTTATTGTATTCTTCAATCATTTTTAAAATATTTTTTGTTTAATTACTTTTGTCCCAAATAAGCTTCTTAAGCTAGGTTTTTTTACCATAATTACAGTAAACTATTTAATTAAAAATTTTACTGTGTTGAAAGTAATTATGTTTTCCATTCACTAATATTTTCAATAGTTTTAAACTTTTAATAAATTTTAAAATAAATACCATACTTATTAATAGAGAATGTTGAATATATTTTCTGAAAATTGCTAAAAATTATCGAAAATTATTTTTGAAAATCACTAAAAATTACTGAAATTTAAAATAGTGATTTTGAAATCATTATAGAATAATTACTAAAAAATTTAAAATAAATACCATATTTTCTCGTTATGGTATTTAATTACTTAATTAATTAATTGACAATATTCATTTAATAATTTAATTTATTTAATTAATTAACAATCTTCTCTTTGGACCCAAGTAATTAGACGTATAATACATCATGATTCTAGGAATCCAACCCAATATAATAGCAAAAAAAATCCCTATATAGTAGGAAATCTTCCCACCTTTCAAACTCTCTCCTCTATCCAAATATAATAGGAAAGCTTTCTACAATTGAGTTACAGCTCTATCTAATCTCCAGTTCCAACACTCTTGGTTCCGTTCCCATAACGTCTTTTCACTCTATTGACCAGGTAAATCCAATGGAGGAAAGACATGCCATAGCTGATGCTACATTTGCATTTTGTTCATTGCATTCTGTAATTTTATTCTTCTGTTCTTTGGAGCACAAGTTAGGGTATGCTTCATTATATTCTTTTAAAAGGTTTTCTAGCAAAGTTTTACAAAAGATTTGGGAGTTCTTGGGGTTAATTTTTCTTGGTGCCTTTAGAATGTCAGTATTTTTTTTTCATTTTTTTGTTCATGATCTTCTGTTTTTTTAGGTAGGTCATGCTAGGATCAAAGGGAGATTAATTAAATTAAATTAACTTGAGTACATTAACTAATTTACTTCATTATCTTAATTAAATTGAGTTAATTAGTAGTTAGTTAATTTTGTGTACGCCTAACCTGGGTTAATTTACTTTATTGGTTAAAGCAGCAAATTATTAATTAAGTTTCTTCCATATAAAATTATATATAAAAATGATACACATTAACAGAAATATTTAATAGTTTTTATTAATACAATATTTTTTATTTAAAAAGAAAGTAAATATAAATTAATACATATTTAGTTTTAGTTTCAAAATTAAATCTTATAATTTGATAATGATACTACAGTTTTTTATAAAATTAAAAAGGTAATAAAATTATTAGTTTTACATTCAACTATTATTAATTTAAAATCCTTTAATCCATTTAAAATAATAAAAACTAATACTAAATAAAAATTTAGTAAAAGTTAAAACAATGTAATCAAAAATCAAAACTAATACAATAGGAATGTCACAGTCCTCTGTTTTGGTGTGCAACTTGGGTGGGTTGGGTCGGATTAAGGGTCAACCCAATCCTAAGTCTCAAACCTCGAGCTTAAGCTTGGCTCAACTCAAGGTTAAGCTTGAATTTACCAACCTCAGTGCAATTTCTACCCTACCCGATGTGTACCCACCCCAACGGGGTGGGTTTTTGCTTGAAGGATGGGTTTTGGGGCAAGTCAGGTTTTGGGATTCTACAACCCATACATTACAAGTAGGGTATGGTACTAGGCTAAACCCCAGCCTCCGATCCCCAACCCACATATTGTTGGAAAGCATATAAACTTTTGTTTACTAGGTGTTGAATTTAATAATATTTTGATTTTGATGTGAAGGATAATTGATAGTTTATGTGTTTTTTTTTTTACGTCTTAATCAAATATTTGAAAACTTTGTTGTTTATTTATGTTACTTTACTTATTTATTAGTTATATATAACAAGAAATAATAGGAAACTAGATGTGGATTCTAAACCTATCACCCCTATCCATGAATGTGGGGTCAATGAGGGTTTTACATTTTCATTTGCGGGGAGGGTTTGGATTCTCAAAATCCAACCCACTATGGATACAGGTTGGGAGGTTTAGGGAAGCAAGTAGAGTCTAGAATTTACAAAACCCTTCTTGAACCCACTCCATTGCCACTCCTACTTGGGTTAGGCTTGGACTTGGGCATATTGATCTTTGTAGCTCAATTTCCATGTAAAATAGATTGATAATATATAGATAAGTAACATAAAATGTTGGGCAGGCTTAGATTGCATTGGATCAATACCCAAGACCTCAACCTTAGCCTACTCTGAGTTTAGTTAGGCCCAAGCTTTTTTACTCAAGCCCAGCATGAAGTTTAAAAGCTCAAGCCCAACATATGCAAAAGTTTTGGTTAAGTAGGGTTGGGCTTGGATTGGATCCACTCAACTTTCACCCTTAGCTCCTTTTGCCCCAAATTATTTTAACAAAGCCCATGCATGGCATGGGTCCTCACTAGTTATGAACTGAGGAAATATAAATTACAACCTACGACAGCTTCGCTTAAAGCAGATACTAGAAAGGTCCTCCCAAACAATTTGCAATTTTGCATCCCATCAGCTGGAGTATCCAAAAAGTAGCAAAAGCCTTTGACTCAGAGAAGGCCGAATTTGCTAACCTATCAGCACACCTATTGGCTTCTTTGATAACAATGTTTGAACTTCGAACACAACCGTCTGGCGCTTCTACAAAGGGAGACGGCCATATGGAATTTTTTTATAGTATTTGATGCCACACGCCACTACTAATAAGTAATTTGCATCAATGTTGGGGCAAACCAGCTAACATACGAAAGAACCACCCAACGATTCACATGTGTAGTTGATATTTTATTGTTACTACCAATAATAATAACATACTGAAGAAAATTAACAAAGTTTCGCCTGGTGAGTTGAAAATCCGTGGTTCTAGCTAGAATAAGGGAGCGGTCTTCTTCTTGGTCAGACGTTGATTAGAAGCAAAGCTACTAGTGGACTGGAATCCTTTACTAATAATTGGGAGAGACAACTTACTGAACTCAGGAATCGAAACAGCAGTAATGACTGAAACATAATAAGCTCAGGAAAAAAGAAGGATTAAGTAGAAGATCAACCTTTGTTAAATCTCGTATTCTGATTCGACTTACAACAATTAGATGCAAGTGAAACAAAGATGTGAAAGAATGATAATTTATTTACACAAGTACGGGAACATGTTACATCTTGATGCTTTCATCATCCATTAGACTGCTTCTCTCCTCTATACAATAACGCAAGGGAGAAGCTAGTAAGATTACCAACATCTCCCACTGTACATCAACATCTCTGTATGAAGAAGAAAACGGAAAAGAAAATCAAAATCAGCAGCTTGCAAGAGACTGAAACGGACAATCATATCTCATTGGTAGTTCATTGGTTCCTTGAATTTCTGGTTAATGGCATGGGTTTGGTCAGCAGATTCAACTTCATGTTTCTGCGTAATGATATGAACCTGTGACAACCCCTTCTTATTTCTTGGATTGCACAAATAGTTCCAGCTGCTTGCAACTTAATGTTGAAATAGTAGGAAAAATTATCGGATTTGAGTTCTGCCAAGAGAAGATGCTCCAATGTCACTGTCAGTGTTCTGCGAGGCAATTAAAATGATATTAGTTTCTCCATAAAATACCAGCCTCAAGTCATGTTTTTAAAAAAATACATATCAGATAATCAGTTTCAAAAGATAAAATTCAGTTCCACGTGCTACCTAGACTTACCTGTGATTTTGGAGAAGGGAAAACATTCCAGAACCTAAGTGTTTCATCACCTGCTCCAGTGACAATTGTCTGTGGAAAAAGAAAATAGTCATATTTGTAGAAAAACAAAACAATGATAAGTGAGAGAGACAAATTGCCTATCAATTTGCTTACAACAAGAAAATGGAATTAAAGAATGTTGAAGATAACCTACCTGACCATCGGGCGAGATGGCAAGATAAAGAACTCTATAGGTATGGCCAGTAAGTGTAGCCAACTGCAGTGGAGCATAACATCGCAGAATAGATTAGTACATAAAAAAGTGTCATTTCAAAGAAGTTTGAGAATTCTGTCTATGTACCTTTGGCATGTTAGGATATCTCCAAACAATTATTTGATTTTGTGAATAACCATGTGTGCTGACAAGTTCATTGACATTCTTAGACCACACAAGATTGCATACCTGTGTCATTGTATGACAGTGAGGATAAGCCAACCATAGGCTTACAGAAAATAAGAAGAAAATAAAATGCATGTTTACTGATTTGAGCAGACTATGATACCTAGTTGCAGTTATAGACATCAATAATGACAAACTTCAAAGTAAATTAGGTAAACTTATGTAGATTACTGGAAACTACATATGAGAATCACACCCAAATGCACTAAGCCTTAAAAGCTTTTATACTAAAGTTCCTTGTTTCCCCAATATGGTTTATCAACCAGGGGGTTTCCGTCTTTGTAAACCAATTTCTGTGGCTTGATTTCCATGAAACTGGCCCTCAGAGTGATTTTGAATTTAGTGATTTTCAGATATAAAAAAAAAGCCATCAGTGCAATCTTCAACATGAACTAATTCTCATTTTCTCAAGCAGTTCCAACCCTACATCAGCAAAAGGGAGCAAATAGTGGGACCCATAGAGTAAAATTAATTACCCAATTTGAAAATACATCAAAATGTTGATTTCAAAATCTGGGGAAGATTCTACGATGTAAACATGACACTTTCAAATCAATTCCAGAAATCACATTGGAGAAATTTTTTACTCTGGGTCCCGATCTTAGAAATTACTGAAATCACAATAGTTCATGTTGTCAAACACCACCTAAATAAATAGGAAGCCATCTTTTTTTTTTTTGATCAGTAAATAGGAAGCCATCTTCCAAAAGCCATATGAATGAAAAACATATAACCTGACTCCCAGTGTCCATGCAGCTCAAGTGTGAGTTAGTAGTTGTATTCCAAAAACGGATGCAGCGGTCTGCAGTGCCACCACCAGAAGCAAGAAGCCCATGGAGATGTGGGGACCATGCAATCGCTTTTACTGCTGCAGTGTGCTCGCAGAATTTCAGCACGGGTTGTGTGGAATGTTGATTCCAAACAAAAAGCTGCATAGAGAAAAGAAGACAGGTTTAAAAATAACAATTTTCCATTGCCATTGTAAATTATCACATGAAGAGATGCCAGTAAGCATCCTAAGAATCAGGAGGAAAAGTACAATTAATCACTCACTCTATTATCATTTCCTCCGGATGCTAGCTCGCGGTTATCATAAGACCACTTCAGTCCACAAACCTAAATCAGAAGAAAACTTTCACTCTAAGAGAATTATTGTCTGTCATAAAATATTCAATAAGATGTATTTGGCAGAAGTCACCATCATCTAAGCTTTATTTCAACCATATAGGGTCACTTACATGTTTCACCATTCCATACCATTTAATGTCATATCCATTGTTAAATTACGAGTGCTTAAATCATTTCTTACTACTTCAGTCCATGTCTTTTTTGGTTTGCACCTAGCCCTTCTAGTTCTAGCCCCTTCACTTGTAACTGATCACTTTCTTACAGATGCTGTAGGTGGCCTTCTATGCATGTATTTAGCAGAAATTATTGTTAATAATAAAAATTATTATGAGAGATCAAGTTTCAAAGAAATGAACTGCTCTTGGATAGATAAAATTAGCAGCTATTGATTGCAAGCAAGTAAAAAATATTTCTTTGTTTTCCCCTTTTGGATAAGGTAACTGTCACACAAAATTTTAAAAATGCATAGTTATAAACAAAATTTCCAGGACCTTTAGATGCATGTGACATAAGCATCAAGGCATGATTTGCAAGTCTCATGAATTTCCAATTTTTTGAGGTGAAACATGAAATTAAAATGACAAAATCAAATAAACATGTATAAGATGAGCAGGAGCACATGTATACACATTTGAGCCTTGAGGCATTTTCCATGAAGTGAGACTCAAGGAGTGACTCATATGCTTTTGAAAACATTGCTGTCACACAAGAGTATACATGACAACAGGGTATAGAAGCATTGGAAATTAACACTGGTCAAGAAAATGACTTCAAACACTAAAATTTAGCCAAGTTCAAATAAACTGTTATGGTAGGTAGTCGTGGGATACTCTCTTAGAAGACAGCAAACAAATGTGGAACAGATGACTCCAGAGCAAGAAAGTTCGATTTTGATGGATACAGCCTAGGTAAGCCAGGCGCTCAAGGTAGTGGACAAGTGTTAGAGATGATAGGGGAAATTTTGAACTCAATGTTCAGGGCCAGTTGGAAAGGAAATTCCTTCAAAGCAAAACTGTTGGCTTTATCATAAGGGCTAGTTAACAGATTTACAGGTGGAAGGAGACTGCCAAGTGGTGATTAACTGGTTGATATCAGCATAAGCAATTACCATGGATGCTAAAGTTTTCTGGTTAGAGAAACAAGAGCTATGGCTCCAAACCTGAACTGCTTGTTTAGGTAGATTCCTAGAGCTGCAAACAGCTGACAGACTCTAGCAAGAACAAGGGCCATGATGAGTATGGCTAACCAGCAATTTGCCATTCATTTGTATCCTACTACCTACATTTCTGGATACTAGGGATTCTAATGCTTTTTTTTTCATTAATTTTTTTAAGTTGACTATCAAAAACAATTAAAGAACAGTTTAAATAAGCTGTTTAAAGTTTTATTGAACTAACTTCTGATTTGTGCCCGATCAGCTTGCTAACAAAATCCTCCTGAGCACGTATATCACGTTGAAGAATAGTCTTGTCCCGACTACCTGAAGACAACAGTGATGAACTCCAGGCAAGAGACCCAACTCGCAGTCGATGGCTCTCCATAGTCCTCACCCTACGACAGCGTGATGCATCCCAAATCTAGATAACAAAGATTCCAAACTAATCAAGTAATGTATAGGTAACTTTAAAGAAGATAGAATGCAATAACTTGCAAGTATAAAATGCAAGAAGATAGCATCAGATCATCAATAAAAGAATAGCATAAAATGGATAGTGATAACGAAGCATTAAAAACCAGCACCAAAGACAGCATTAAATACTTCAATTATAGAGCACGAATAAACTGAAGACAGCATGAAATAGTTCAAGTCAATAATTAAAGATATCAAGAAATAATTTCATACAAATCAACATCTTCCTGCTTCTGACCTAAACTCAATAGTGATATGAAAAAAGTAGGAAGCATCAGGTATGCAACTCCCCATTATGCAGATGGTCACCCCAATACAAAACCAGGTAGAGTCACCATCCAGTCTGCTATGCAGTTGACTTGGTCACGTTGCTTTTACAGTGGTAAAGATTAAAAAAGAGCCTGTACATTCTTTTAGTTTTAACTTTTTTTTTTCCATTTTCCTATCTTTAAGATGGCTTCTTTAACCTTACTACTTTATAGATCAGATAATAAATGCAAAAAGTCAAACTGTTTGAATCATCAACCAACCCCACCAGTTAGATATACAGTCTAGGTTTCAACAACACTGATAAAATGATCATAAATTGGCATTAATTCCGAAATCACATCCTAAGCAATCATGTTACTTTCTGATTGCCAATATCAAGGAACTTCAACAAGAAAAGATGGATCTATGATTCATCGAACATGAATATTAGTTCTAGCTTTTCGGTCCACAAACCACTCATTCTCAAAGATTTAGGTGTCGTGTGGTGCCGACATGATAAATGCATCCTAACATGTTCTGAAGTAATCTATGCACTAAAGTAGAGAGCAGTCAATTATTAATAGAGCGAAAATAGAGAACTTTCATGGCCAGACTCCAAAATTTAGCATGCCTTCTAGGTGACATTAAAAATCTGGTACTCACTGAACAAGATTCTACAAAATGATCATTAACTTGGAAGTGGCACCACCTTATTCCATTTTACTTTCACTGAAATGACAACACCCTGTTATGGTAGGTGTAATTCATAATCATGTAGGGTTTTGGGAGGAGACAAGGAATTAGCAACTGAATATATTGTCCACTCTCCCTCTAGTCTAGGAACGAATCTTATTTTTACCAGCATCCTATGCCTCTGTTCAAGAAGAGCTCATAGGCGCCACCTGTAATGACCACATCTTAGGGTCCGTTTGGTTCACAGTCAGAATTGGAATCGAAATCGTAATCAAAATCCTTTAGAATCGGAATGGGAATGGACTATTCCCATAGTATGTTTGGTTCAGACAGGAATGGGAATTAGAATCAGCAGGAATGGGATTTCATTCCCAAGGGAGGGGCAGGGAATGACCATTCCCTTAAATGGGGGAATAGTGGAATACCATTGCAGCAGGAGTAGGAATTGGATTCTGATTCCGCCCAACCAAACTGTTTGATTCGGAGTAGCCCATTCCAATTCCAATTCCAGAACCCTATTCCTGCGAACCAAACGGGGCCTTAGTTCATTGAGCAATCACCCAGACCAGACGGAACTGCAAGTTTCGTCTAAACTTGAGTTGATCCAACCAACTAATATGTGTTTGACCATTACCTCTCAACTATATCCCCTATGTCTAAATGCAAGTTGGACTTCCAAAGATATCTTACCTGGACTTTGCCATTGTTAGTTCCAACAGCAAGGTGCGGGCCACGCTGCTCCCATCCCACGGAACAGACACTATCATCCACACCCAAGTCGCACAATTTTGTTACCTAAATTTAACGCACAAGAGAGAATGCCATTAATCCAAAACATTAAGGCAGCTCAGAAAACAACCAAGTTAAAACTCAGGAACAAACAGAACTGGTTTTTATTTTGGGGGGACAAGGTAGCAACATCTCATTGCAAGGTCCCAGAAACTTAACAACTATAATCTATCCCTCAATTGGTTACTACCATTACCAGATAGCCCATTACAGTGAAGCATGGAGTAGAATGGTTAGAATATGCAAATCTTACCTTGCTACTACAAGCATTCCACAGATAAACACAGTTACCCAAACCCACAGCCAGAATATTATGCGAAGACCAATCTACGAGATTCAAATAAAAGTCATCTTGCAACTGAGGCGCATCCAATACCTGGGTGAAAGCAGCAGTTCCCAAAATTAACTTCAAGTGAGCAAGTGCATGATCAAAGTAAAATAGCAAAATCAACAGAAAATTTTACCTTGTAAGGTGACCGAGGAACCTTTCGCGGAGTCTTGGCCGGACTAGAAATAACACCAGGCAGTGCATCGTCGAAGCCAAACGGGTAAAGGGGATAGAGCGAACGCCGCGTTTCCGTCTTATATCTGAAAATATTCTTACTTGGAGGACTCAATGACGAATGCCTGCCATCGAATCCCGCTTGCTTCTCATGAGTGACGGGCGAAACAACGCCGGAATCCGGCCCAAGGAGTACCGTCCTCAACAGAGTAGCGTAAGTACCAGAACCGTCCTCCCGACCTTCCGTGCACGAGTTGGACGAAGGCGAAAGATGGAAGAGAGCAAAATTGGAACCAGATCTGCTAGGGATGAAGCGGTCGCTATATATGGTTCTAGAAGGTGAAGGACGGTACCCCACACCAACCATACGATCTATGTGGCGAGAAGAAGGCGAAATTTCTAAAGACAGAGCGCTTCGGGACATGCCGGAGGGAAGATTCAACTGCGAAGAGAAAGAAGGAGTAGAGAAGTTCGAAGATGAAGAAGGCGTCCTCCGACCCGATCGATCATCGATTGAAGGGATTAAGGGGTCTTCCATTGGAGAATTTTTTTTTCCCGGTAGATATCAGAAGTAATTGAGAGAGACAGATCACGAGAGAGATTGAACCCAGGAAAGCGACGGTGATGTGAGAGATTAGCTCTCTCTCTCCCTCTCTCTCGTCTTCAACTTCAAGCAAGGCTCCTCCTCTACGCACTTTCTTTTATCGAGGGGGGTAACCGGGTAAGGACTCTTTCCAATTTCACTCGAAAGAAACACGATCGTTTATTACTTCGGTTGAGGATTCTTGGGTTTCCCGGGAAAATTAATTAGGGTATAAACCGAAATAACGGAAGGTTCGCTTGGTGCATAGACTCCTCCTTCTGATTGGGGTGGGCCCATCTTGTTGATCTAATTCATCCTGATTCCTTCCATGTCCATGATGCTGGTCTTACGTGAGACATCTTCTAGCAACCGTTTGATTGGAATAAGTGGCGGCTGACGGGACACCCACCCTAACCATTGGTTTGCAGACCGCTGAACAGGTGAACCGAGATTCAAAGCTGGCCCAACCGCCCAAGTGGTACGTGCCAAGTGCCATGGGAAAACTAAAAGCAACTTTCATTCCATTTCCGTGAAGGAGAGGAGTAGGTATCGTCTCCATTATTGTCTACGCATACAATATATAAATATACGACCTCCTAAATCCTAATGGATAGCAGCTAGAGGATGCCGAAATGATTGTAATCATAAATCAATTGATAGCAATAAAAGTGTTTTTTTATATTCTTAACAATAAAAAGATATTCCCTCAAATAAAACATATCTACTATCTACTTGCATTTGGGGGTGTATGGACCTTGCGTTTGACACATCTATCATATCATTAAGATCTTTGTACTTGACACGTGTTCCTCTGACCGGAGTCTCTGTTTATAATTACTTTGCTTCACTTCAAGGTTATATTAATTGAAAAGTTATTACTGTCCTCACACGCTACTGGTAGGGAGAAGAAAGCTAGAGATGGAGAAGATTGTACGCAGGAAGTTATCTAACTGCAAAAGCTCATCCCCCTCGTTATATCAGTTGCCATTGGAGTTATTGTTTGGTTCTTCGTACCAGTTGAAGTCACTCCGCAAGCATGGCAGTTGCTTGCTATCTTCTTGTCAACCATAGCCAGACTGGTTTTGAGTCCTCTTCCAGTCGGTGCTTGGGCGTTTCTTTGTCTCACGACCTCAATTGTTACAAAAACCCTATCTTTCTCGACTGCTTCACCAGCAAGGTTATTTGGTTGATTGTCAAGAGGGGCCTCGGTGATAGGATTGCGACTTACTTCGTCAATTAGCCGTTTCTTTGTCTTATGGATTGACGCTTAGTGAAGCTCTTATTGCTCCAGCGATGCCGAGTACGACTGCAAGAGCTAGAGGAGTGTTCTTACCGATTATTAAGACATTGTCTCTTTCTGCCGGTAGTAAACCGGGGGATCCCTCTTCCAAAAGGCTTGGTTCCTATCTGGTTCAATCCCAATTCCAGGTTAACATTCTATTCTGCTTCAATTGCTTCAACATCATTTCGTATTCTTCCTCTATCCTTTATCCTTCTCATGACATGTATAGAAAATATATCTTTTTTACTATGAAATGAACTATGCTTCACTTGATGCAATATAAACTCCAGACGGCGTACCCATACAACCAATTCAATCAGTGGGCTGTAGCTTGGCAATGTCCTCGCTCAAACCATTCATTGTTTTGATCCTAACCATTTGATTAACTGAATTAACTGAAAAGTCAAATGTTAAAAAACAATCCACTTTCCATAGAACTTCTAGAATTAATTACTACTCTAGAAATTAAATCTCTAAGCCTTTAGAAAAAGTAATACACTTTCTAGAAGTTCTAACTTCTAGAATGTATTTGGGTTTAGAAGATGATGATTTCTATAAAAGGTAAAATTCTAGAGAGAGATGTCTAGAATGTTGGTTGGCTTTGCTCCACCTACTTGGCTCTACTATAAATAGGGCTAAGCTTGTACATTTGAAAACAATCCAATACAAGTTCCCATTTTTCCAACAACTTGAGCCCTTATCATTTGCTACCATCTTATCCTACCTAGTTTACTCTCTCTCATATCTCAAGTCCTAACAACTCTACTCTCCTCCATATCCCAATAGTGGTATTAGAGCCCGTTTGATTATTTTTGGGTGTTATTTCCTTTTAGCTAAAATTCCCGGTTATCCCAAAACTTATCATGGCCACCATTCTAGCTAATAGCCAAATTCCAATCCCCATTTTTTTTGGAGAAAATTATAACTATTGGGCCATTAAAATGAGGACTTTCTTCATGTCCCAAGGTCTATGGGAAATTGTAGATAAGGGATTTACAATCCCTGAAAGTAGTTATATTCTGTCTGCAACAAAGCAAAAGAAATTACAGAAGAATATGGATAAGGATAATCTTGCTCTCTATCACATACAGATAGCAATGGCAGAATCGATTTTTCCAAGAATTAGTGGTGCTACAAGTGCCAAAGGTGCATGGGATACCTTGAAGGAGGAATTTCAAGGCAGCGCCAAGGTACGTATTGGTTAAACTTCAAGCTCTTATAAGGGATTTGGAGAATATGAAAATGAAGGATTCTGAGACCATTAAAGATTATTATTCTAGATTAAGAGAAACTGTCAATCAATTAAGAGCCTATGGAGAAGATATTACAGAAAAAATGTTGGTTGAAAAAATATTAATTAGTGTGGTAGAAAAACATGATCCAAAGGAGACAAAAGATATCACCACTCTGTCACTAACAGAGTTGGTGGGCTCTCTAGTGGGTGTAATGAAAGTTCTATGGAGAACACCTTTCAGTCTAAGCTCAATATAAGGTCTCAGAAATCCAAAAGAGATGAAAGAAAAGGATATAGACAAGTCAATCAAGTCACAAGTCAGGCTTGGCAATGGAGAATTAGTGGAGGTCGAAGGTAAATGAACTATCACTGTTAAGACAAGGAATGGGGCACAACTCATACAAGATGTGTTGTTAGTCCCAAGATAGGAGACAAATCTATTAAGTGTTGGGAAAATGGTGGAAAGAGGATATTCTCTACTCTCCAAAGGAGACTCATGCATGATATATGACAACAAAAATAAAAGCTTGGAGATTGCTAAGGTAAAGATGCAACACCAAAGGAATTTTCCAATCATATGGCAATACACCAAGATAGCCATGAAAGCTCAGGAAGATGAATCATGGCTTTGGCATGGAAGATTTGGCCACTTCAATTTGCATGGGCTAAAAGTACTCCATCAAAAAGACATGATGAAGAATTTGCCATCCATTCAAGTAATGAATGACCTAAGCGAAGGATGTTTGCTTGGTAAGCAACATTGGAAATCGTTCCCATCAAGTGGTGCATGGAGAGCCAAGGCAATCTTGGAGCTCATACACACAGATGTTTGTGGACCAATGAGAATGACATCCTTCGAACAAAGCAAGTACTTCATTCTCTTCATTGATGATTTTACAAGAATGACTTAGGTTTATTTTATGCGTAAAAGGTCATAAGTCTTTTAAGATTTTTAAAAGATTTAAGAATCTTGTTGAAAAACAAAGCGGCCAAAGCATAAAAGTGATCAGAAGTGATAGAAGAAAAGAATATAGTTCAAATGAGTTCGACAAGTTTTGCAAAGATGAAGGATTGGAGCATCAGTTGATCGTTGGCTACGCCCCAGAGCAGAATGGAGTTTCAGAAAAGGAAGAATAGAACAGTAATGGAGATGGCAAGACCAATGCTATTAGAACAAGGCATGCCTAACTATGGAGACTAAAAGCTTTAAATCAGCAGGAAAACAAGAGGTATGGGTAAAGGCGATGAAAGAAGAATTCGCAATGATTGAGAAAAACAAGACATGGGAATTAGTGGATCATCCTCAAGACAAAGAAGTGATCGGAGTCAAGTGGGTCTACACGACAAAGCTCAACTCTGATGTCTCAATACAAAAGCACAAGGTGATGCTAGTTGCTAAAGGCTATGCATAGTTGCCTGGGATAGACTACAATGAAACATTTGCTCCGGTGGCACGTTTAGACACTATAAGAGCACTCGTAGCGTTAGCAGCACAAAAGAAGTGGAAGATCTATCAACTTGATGTCAAGTCGGAGTTTCTAAACGGAATGCTCGAGGAATAAATATATGTAGAGAAACCTCAAGGGTTCACAGTAAAACAACGAGAAGACAATGTACTAAGATTGAAGAAAGCTCTCTATGGCCTAAAGCAAGCACCACGAGCATGGTACAGACGAATTGATTGTTACTTCATCAATCAAGAATTCAGGAAGAGTTAAAGTGAGCCTAGTCTATACATCAAGACCCAAGGTAACTCTAACACTCTCATTATTTCTCTATACGTAGATGATCTCATCTGTACAGGAAACAATGAGACAATGATCAAGGAGTTCAAAGAAAATATGATGAAGACGTTCGAGATGATTGATCTTGGATTAATGCACTACTTTCTTGGCATCAAGATCAATCAAGAAGAAAAAGGTATATTTATATCACAAAAGAAGTATATTGAGAATCTACTGAAAAAGTTTAAGATGGAAAGATGCAAGACGGTCGCTACACCACTTGTTACAAATGAGAGGTTCAAGAAAGAAATTGATTCAAAGAAGGCTGATGCCTCAATCTATAAAAGCCTTATTGGGAGTTTACTCTATCTCACAGCTACATGGCCAAACATTATGTATGCAACAAGTTTATTCTCGAGGTTCATGCAAATCCCAAGTTAAGTTCACTATAGAGCAGCAAAAATGATACTAAGATACTTGCAGGGCACAAAAGAATACGGCATTACGTACAAATCCACTACTAACTCAAGATTGATAGGCTATATTGACAGTGATTGGGCAGGATCAATGGATAGAATGAAGAGTACCTCAAGCTATGCCTTCTCACAAGGATCTGGAATATTCTCTTGGGCATCAAAGAAGCAAGCCACAGTAGCACAATCATCAGCAGAAGTTGAGTACATAGCAACGGCAGCAACAACAAGTCAAGCTATAAGGCTAAGAAGAATACTACTTGAAAACATGGATGAGCGGCAAAAGGAACTGATAACAATCTATTGCGACAAGTTTTCTATAGCAATGGCAAAAAATCCAGTATACTACAACAAGACGAAACACATTGCAATCAAGCATCACTTTTTACGAGAGAATTAGGAGTTGTTACGAGAGCAACTAGGAGTTACAAGAAAGTGCATTAAGGAGGAGTGTTAAAAAGATAATCCACTTTCTAGAGGTTTTCTAGAAGTTCAAACTTCTAGAATCAATTAGCACTCTAGAAATTAAATCTCTAAGCCTGTAGAAAAAGTAATACACTTTCTAGAAGTTCTAACTTCTAGAATGTATTTGGGTCTAGAAGATGATGATTTCTATAAAAGGTAAAATTCTAGAGGGAGATGTCTAGAATGTTGGTTGGCTTTGCTCCATCTACTTGCTCTACTATAAATAGGGCTAAGCTTGTACATTTGAGAACAACCCAATACAAGTTCCCATTTTCCCAACAACTTGAGCCCTTATCATTTGCTACCATCCTCTCTTACCTAGTTTACTCTCTCTCACATCCCAAGTCCTAACAACTCTACTCTCCTCCATATCCCAACATCAAGCAGATACATGGATACTTTAAGAAGCAAAAAAAAGAAGAAAACTCCTCTTTGTTGTATTTCTGGTTTCATGTATAGTATGATTAGCTTGCAATTGGAATGCTATGGTTGGTCTGTATGGTATGATAATTATGGTGATCCAATTATTAACTATAAGAGGGCAAGACTTTGTTTTGTTTCTTCTAGGTAAACAAATTGTGCTAATGATACATGCTTTCAGCACCATCACACTTTTTTTATTTTTTTCTGGTGGTTAAACTTTATTTCTACTCTTGATTATTTTTTGTGAGTTTCATATTTTTTGTTCTCTTGGTTTAGCATTATCTAGCGATATCTTTATGACTTATTTCTTCTTGTTTGATGTGTGACAGTCCACTGGTAACTCAAGTGTTCTTATCCATGCGCCTTGCAGTTGCACCTCCAGCAAAAAGGGCGCCTCAGAAGTGTTGCTCCCGTGTGCAACGATTCTGCTGCTGCTGCTACCCTGTTTTTGTTTATCCAAGTGCATGTAGAATCGAACGACTGAAGTCTCTGGCAGTTTTACCTGCATGCAAATAGAATGAGAGCAGCTTCACAGTATCGGACCCGAGACACCAACCTCTCAAACAATACGTAAGAGAGAGTAGCTTAATCTGATTAGAGCTAAAGCTGAGAGGATAATTTTCCTTTCTCAGTAAAGGGCTTTTCTCATTGTGTTAAAGCACTTGGGAGCGATCCCTTAAATAGTTGCTCCTCCAACGTTAAGTTTCTTGACATTAGGAAAAACAGTTATCAGAATAACCAAATGAGATAAGCATTAGAATTTATGCTCCATCAGATTTGAGACAAGTGTCTCAAGTTGACCAAGGATCTAACCACTTGGTCACCCAGTCTACACTGGGTCAAATGGATATCCATAGAGCTAGAATATGGATCCAAATAATCCAACAACATTGGTATCTCCATGCATGAAAATGTTTTCAAATAAACAATCAAATAATTTTTTTTATAGAAAATAAATAAATAGGTAATTATTTAAAATGAATGATTGTGTGTGAGAGTGTTGCATGGAGACAACCATCAACCATCAACATGTGGCTTGTCACATGGCCATTGGATATTCCAACATGTTGAGGATTAAACGAGGGCCTATGGCCACTCTACCATCAGTTTTCCATTGGAAATTCCCCAGATGTTGGTTGCTTCACTGATGGCTTGCACCATTACACCATCAGCGTCAACGTCAGCAGCGGCGCAAGAATCAGGGGATTGCACTTGCACCCAATAGACACTCCAGCAACAGTAGTTTCAGAAGTAGAGGCGCTGCTCGTCCTAGGAGCACCATGGATCGATCTAATGAAGAACAGAATAAAGAGATCTCTGTTTCCTTCAAAGAGAAGCTCCATTTGGCGGAACTCATCCCTCAGCGTTTCCAAGTTAGGTAAGATCTCAGGGGAATGCTCACTGCTGCTATTCGACTGGAAAAGCATGGAGGTGAGTACCATTGCGGTTCTAGTGGTGAAGAAGCCATGAATTGGGATGAGGGTATATGCCGTTGGACGGTTTAGATATGATTCAAAAATGTGGACAAATGTCGACCGTTGAAGATATGGAAGCCTGAATGGGATACTATTTTCCTTGTCAAGTATATGCTATATAAATCAGGGAAAATTAGGGAAAAAGCTTGATGAATAGGTGGAGGTATTTGTGGTGGTGAGTCGATTCCAATCTGACGACAAAAATGAAAGGACATTTTGTACGAGGTTGCTGTAAAGTTCCACTCTACGACCGCGAGAAATTTTTGTCAATGCTCGGGGATGCCCCAACTCCCCTCTCCATCCCGGGTTAACAATGGACCAGGTTAAATAGTTACTGGGCTCCATGTGTTAGTAATGAAGGATGATTTGGCACGACCTTGCGAGAAGGGAACACGTAGACATGATTTGACTAAGAGATGACAGCTCAGCCCGGTAAGCCTAGTTTGCAATAATTGAGCTCGGTTATTCAATCACCTCGGCACGGGGCCACCTCGGCACAGAGTCACCTCGACATTCAATCCAGTTTGGAACTAAAAGATCGAAGTATTAGTTCAGGGATACCGACCTGGACTGCCACGTAACGATCCCGGAAGTCTCTCCAATAGACTCTGAACCTCACGGGATCACGCTGCTAGACTTGTTCATGGGCCGGGTAGCCCGATGGCTCGGCCCGCACCCCGGTCGGCTTAAGTCAGTAAACTGTGTTGCGAGCTGAAAAGCTTTGAGAGCTAGAGAACTAGAGAGTAGAAAAATCACGCGTACCTTGTGTCATTGGGTTGGTGTCTTTATATAGTTGAGCCCTCACGGGTTTTGCGGATCGGTTCCAGGATCTTCGTCCTGATGGGGTCCATTTCCGCTTTAATTGGGGAGTAACGTTATCAACTAATAAAGATTATCAATTCCGCCTGATTTGGGCGGGGAGAGGATTAGGCCTGCTGTTACGCGGCGTGATCCCGTGAGGTTCGGAGTCTGTTGGAGAGACTTCCGGGATCGTTACGTGGCGGTCCGGGTCGGTAGCCCCGAGCTGATACTTCGGTCTTTTAGTTTCGATCTGGATTGAATGCCGAGGTGACTATGTGCCGAGGTGACCCTATCCGAGGTGATTGAATACCCGAGCTCAATTCTTGCGAACTAGGCTTGCCGGGCTGAGCTGTCATCTCTTAGTCAGGTCGTGTCCATGTGTCCCCTTCTCGCTAGGTTGTGCCAAATCACCCTTCATCAATTGCCCCCCACTCCTCGTGCCAGGGGTCCCAACCCAGTGCGAGGAGTTCATGGACGATCTAGGTGGATTTGGCGCGGGGTTTGGCAATCTGAAGAGCAAACCGCTGGTCGGGCCTGTTCAATCATTTGGCTCAACCATGAAATGACCCAGATCGCGTCCCGGGTATGCGCGGACGTCATGCTGTTTATAAACTCCGCGGACATCAAAGAGCGCGATCAACTGATTTCATCCTCGGGTGTCGTGCAACCGGTTTTCATGAGAGCTGTTGGATCGAGCAGGTCTCAGCCGTTGATCGCCACGCGGTGAGCTATAAATAGGGGGCCGAGGGGCCGGCCCCTCTTCTTCGCCAAAAATCTTGTGATTGAGCTCTCTCGAGATCGTGTTGGAGTCCTTCAGCTCGCCACTTCTCCCCTTGTGTTTTGAGATCGTTTTCGTCTTTTTTGGTGAGTTCGTCTTTTCTTCCTTAGTTTGTTCTCCTTTCTTGTTCCTGTTTCAATATGTCTAGCATAGATAGGCTTCTTAGTGACTCTAGTGGGCTTGAGGGTGCCAAGGTGCAGCCCTTGGCTCTTGCTGGCGAGGTCAGCTCCTCGCTAGGTAGTTCCCCCCCTCGCCCTTTAGGAGAAACCTCTTTACCAGAAGTCGGGCCATCTCGACCTAAGGAGCCTGTAGCTCGGGAGGAGGGACCAACCTCCAGAGAGGGGGTCCCATCTTCTTCTCGGGGTCGGGATCTAGATGTCTTCGGGCCTTCCACTATGACCTCAGATAGGCTACTGTCCTTGGTAGCTTGTTACCGTCTTCCCGATAACTTAGTTTTCAGTATTCCTTTGGGTCGGTACCCTTGGGTTCATGGTCACCATGAGCTCGCGGTTTTCAAAGAGTAGCTCGTAGCTGGGCTACTGTTCCCGCTCCACCCATTCATTATAGAAATAATTAAGTTCTTTGACATCACCATCGACTAATTACACCCGAACTCCATCCGAAATATAGTAGGTACAATCTCCCTATTCTACGAGTACAATCGACCTCTGTCCTTAGACGTTTTTAGCTCGATTTGCTGAATCAAAAAGAACTCCACTTGCTTGCGGGGGGACGTTCGACAGAGTTACTACATCTCTCCTCGCCCCGGGTTCAAAATCCTGTTCGGTAGCCCGAACAAAATACCGACCTGGAAGAGGAGATACTTTTTTGTCTGGAACCCTGAGGGGTGGCCCTTCCCGACTCACCGGCGGGTGGCTATTAAAGACCCTAGGGTGAGGCTAGATGCGGAGACAAGGGCGATTGTTAACTCCTAGAGGGACCTTGGCCTAGAGATGAGAGATTTCTTGGCCGAGGAGAAGCTTGTGCGAGCTAGGCTGAGCCCTCCTGGTAGGCCTCCACCTCGGT